AAAAAAAAAAAAAAAAAAAAGCCAGGCATGGCTTCAGGCTCACACCTGTAACCCAAGTGCTTTGGGAGGATTTCTCAAGGCCAGGAATTCAAGACTAGTCTGGGCAACAGAGTGAGACCTTTCTCTAAAAAATATACAATAAAAAAAATAGCTGGGCATTGTGGCACATGCCTGTAGCCCCAGCTACTTGAGAGAGGCTGAGGTGGGGAGCATTCCTTGGGTCCAGGAGGTTGAGGCTGCAGTGAGACAAGATTGTACCATTGCACTCCAGCCTGGGTGACATAGTGAGATCCCCTCTCCCCAAAAATAAAAAAACGAAATGTATCCCATGCACCTGAAGGCCAGCAAGAGGTTAATATCTAGACTAGTGATTCTCAACTGGGGAGGGAGTGAGGGTTTTTTCATCTCCTTCCTCCCCAAAGGACATCAGTCAATTTCTGGAGACGTTTTTGGTTGTCGCATCTCGGGGAGGGGTTGCTACTGGCCTGTGGTGGGTAGAGGGTGCTGCACAAAACAGCCCCCATGATAAAGGAGGATGCCCAGTGCCAGTGGTGCTGCGATTTGGAAATCCAGCTCTCTAGGACCTGAGGGGCCAGGCATGGGAGGTGGGTCCAGGGGACCAGAGCCAGAGCTCCCAGCATCCCTCCCCACCCTCCTCCCTGAGGCAAGGGATGTGGGGGAGGCAGCAGAGTTGGACTCTGGGCCAATGACTTCCTGTCTTGGAGCCTTTTCCTCATTTGCATAGTGAAGATGGAATATCTGTTTCCCAGAGTCATCTTGGGGTTGCAGCCTGGCCCAAGAATGACTTAGTACTGGCTCATCCATCCTCGTTTTCTGGCTCTGTGCTCTCTCTCCCACTCTTCAGGCCCAGCACCTCGGCTGCGCCTGGCTGATGGCCCCCACGGTTGCGCTGGCCGCCTGGAGGTCTGGCACGGAGGGCGCTGGGGGTCGGTATGTGACGACGCCTGGGACCTGCGAGATGCCGCTGTTGCCTGCCGGGAGCTGGGCTGTGGGGGGGCGCTGGCCGCCCCCGGGGGTGCCTTCTTTGGGGAGGGGGCTGGACCCATCATCCTGGACGACCTCCGGTGTCGGGGAAATGAGACGGCCTTGCGATTCTGCCCAGCTCGGCCCTGGGGCCAGCATGACTGTCACCACCGCGAGGACGCCGGGGCTGTGTGTGATGGTGAGGGGGCTGTGGTGGAGGACCGGGAGGTGGGTGTGGTGGTGCTTGGAGTGGAGTTGCAAGTTGGGGGGTCCCTATGTGCCCTTCCTGCCCTCTGTCTGAACTTTCCACTCCTCATCTTACTCCCCTCTAAATCCTCACCCTGCACCAGTGGTTCTCAGCTGGGGGTGGCTTTGCCCCCAAGGGGACATTGACACTATCTGGAAACATTTTTGATGGTCACAGCTGGGGGCAGGGGTGCTCCTGGCATCCAGGGTTGGAGGCCAGGGGTGTTGCTCAACATCCTGCAGTACACAGGATGGCCCCATGGCCCAAATGGAAACAGCCAAGGTTGAGCCGCAGCCCTGTGGCAGCCCTGGCTGGCCCTGCCTTCTGTCCCCGGAGGAAGCCAGTCTTCTTCTCTCTATAAAGTTCCCTCCCTTTCTCTGTCACCCCTAAGCTACCATGCCCTCTGCTCTCTCTTGTCCCCCATTCACATACCTCCTTCCCAGGTCAGGGAGGTGGAAAGCTTGGGCTGTGTCTAGGGAGGAGGTTGGGCAGGAAGAGATCTCTGCATGCAGCTGAGAGGACTGAGGAAGGATGACACAGGAGGAGGGGGCACCAGTTCTGGGATGGAGGGGGTGCGTGGGTGGCAGTCACCTTCCCCCCTCTCCACAGGCATGCCTCTGGGCTATGTCCCTCCCATGGTCCCTACTGTGACCAGCAACGACTCCATATCCAGGGAGGCTGCCTCCAGGCCACTGTCTACCGTGACAAGCCAGGCTCCAGGGACGGCAGGCGTTTCACCTCCTCTAGCCTCCCCTACTGTCCCTTGGGAGCCTGGACCAGAAGCCGGTGAGTCATTCCATGCTCCCCAAGAAAACAGAGTCCTCCCTTCTGTGCCCTTCCCTCAGCTCTGTTTCATGAGGGGGCTCTTGCAAAGAGAAAGGTAGAGAACAGGGGCACAGGGGCCTCGCCCAGGACACACAGCTGAGTTTAATGCACTGCTGTCACATCTGGAAGCACGTGATAATTTTTGAACAGGGGTCCTGCCTTTCATCATTTACTGAGGCCCCCAAATCCTGTAGCCAGTCCTGGATAAGAGACAGATGGTGGGCTGAGACTCTGCCCTGTTCCTAAGCTACACGGTGTGGCTGTGGGGTCTGTCATGGGGTACTCTGGCCAGCTTCAAGGGACAGCCCTGCCCAAACATTTACTTTCCAGAGTCTCTGGTTCTTTAGCAAATGTGATCAATGGTTCTGCCTGCCCCACTCAGCCTGGAGTGCAGTGGTGTGATCATGGATCACTGAAGCCTCAAGCCTCAACCTGCAGGCTCAAGTGATTCTCCCACCTCAGCTTCCCGAGTATCTGGGACTACTAATTTTTTGTACTTTTTGCAAAGAAAAGGTTTTGCCATGTTGCCCAGGCTGGTCTTGAACTCCTGAGCCCAAGCATTTGCCCACTTCAGCCTCCCAAAGTGCTGGGATTAGAGGTGTAAATCACTGCACCTGGCCTCTTTCATGAGTATTGAAAGGACTATTGTTTTAAAATATAGGTCTCATTATTACCCAGGTATGGTGAAGCCAAGAGATCAGGAGATGACAACCACTAAAAAGATTGTTACTCATGGTTCCCAAGAGGAGGGCCATGCCAAACGGGGCCACATAGGGAAGCACCAGGGCCAGTCAGGGGGTAGAGGGAGTGAGGGGAAGCATGGATGGGAAACTCTATTTTTACATATTTATATATTTATTGAGAGGCAGGGTCTCGCTTGCTCAGGCTGGAGTGCAGTGGTGCAATCATAGCTCACTGCAGCCTCCAATTCCTGGGCTCAAGTGATCCCCCCACCTCCACCTCCTGGGTAACTAAGGCTATAACTGCATGCCACTGTGCCTGGCTTTTTTTTTTTTTTTTTTTTTGTAGAGACAGAGCCTCACTATTGTCCAGGTTGGTATCAAACTCCTGGCCTCAAGTGATCCTCCTGTCTTGGCCTCCTGAAGTGCTGGCATTACAGGCATAAGCCACCACACCCAGCCAGGTACAGGAGTCTTGATTGCTTTTTTGCAGGAAGGAATAGGTGAAACAGGGTAAGTGGGCTTAGAATTGGCTAGTTTGAATAATTTCAGGAGGTGATGGGTCAGAGGGTTGTCCTTAGTTGTCTGGTACTTGGCCCTGGGGCAGAGGACAGGTGCATAGTGGCCCAGGTGTGAGAGCCCAGTGGAGGGGCAGTTGGTGTGTGGGTTCTGGAGAGCATGGTTTGCACACAGAAGGCATGCTCAAGTCATTTACCAGCTCTAGGAATTAGCTGACCCTGGGAGAGGCAGTACTTCAGCATCAGGAAAGCCCCAAGATGTCAAAGCATCAGGAATACAGAAAATAAAAAGTCGCGGTGAACAAAGTTGTCTCCTCAAGATGGGAAAGGGCTGAACAAAAGCAGCAACTTGTTTTCACTATGATAACTATTCCCAGAGGCCCCTTACCCCTTTTCTTGAATAATAATATCAACTAACACTGACAGAGCATGCACTGGCTCCTGGTGACTGATGCTGTTCCGTTCTCTCCCTGTCTCAATCAGGTGATGTGTACAGTCACTGTGGTGTGGGTACTGAGGTCTCCATGTTACTGATGAGGCAGCACAGCTGAGAAATGGAAGAGCCAGGATTCAAGCAGAAAACTTGTTCCAAGGCTCACATTGGTTTTTTTCTTTTTTTAATTGTGATAAAGCATACGTGACATACATAAAATTTACCATTTTTACCAGTCTTTTTTTTTTTTTTTAAACAGGGTCTCGCTCTGTCACCCAGGCTGGAGTGCAGGGGTGCGATCTCAGTTCACTGCAACCTCTGCCTCCCGGGTTCAAGCAATTCTTCTGCCTCAGCCTCCCAAGTAGCTGGGATTACAGATGCTCACCACCACACCCGGCTAATTTTTATATTTTTAATAGAGAAGGGGTTTCACCATGTTGGCAAGACTGGTCTCGAACTCCTGACCTCAAGTAATCCACCCGCCTCGGACTCCCAAAGTGCTGGGATTACAGGCGTGAGGCACCATGCCTGGCCTTTATCAGTCTTAAGAGCATAGTTCAGTGGCATTAATTACATTCATGTTACTCTGCAACCATCACCACTGTCCATCTCCAGAACCTATTTTTTCATCTCAAACAGAAACCTCATACCTATTAAACACTAATTCCCTATTCCTCCCTCTCTTCAGCATCCCACAATCCCCATTCTTCTTTCTCTATTTATGAATGTGATTTCTTTAGGTACCTCATATGAGTGAGAATCATACTCTTTTGTGACTAGCTTATTTCACTTAGCATAAAGTCTTCAAGGTTCATCCATGTTGTAAGACATGTCAAAATTTTCTTCTTTTTTAAGGCTAAATAATACTTCACTGTATGTATATACCTCATTTTGTTTATCCATGCATCTATTGATGGACAGACACTTCAGTTGTTTCCACCTTTCAGCTATAGTTAATAATGCTGTTATGAGCTTGGGTGTACAAATATCCATTAGAATTTCTGCTTTCAGTTCTTTTGGGTGTATACTTGGGCCATATGGTAACTTGTCGAGGAATTGCCAAACTGCTTTCACAGGGCCCGCATTCTTAACCACTTTTCCATGCTCAAGTGTCATTCAACTAAAAAAGGGGCTACTGTCTGTTTCCTTCCTTCTGCCTCAGCCCTTCTGATCAAGAAACCTTCCACTGACTGGGCACGGCCGTTCATGCCTGTGAACTCAGCATGTTGGGAGGCTGAGGCAAGAGGATCACTAGGGCCCAGGAGGTGGAGGCTGCAGTGAGTTGTGATTGTACCACTGCACTCCAGCCTAGAAATAGAGTGAGACTCTGTCTTTAAAAAAAGAAAAAAGAGAGTGAAATCTTCTTCCACCCTCCCACCCCCCAAGAAGGGAAGGAGCATGCCAAAAGTTGCCTTCTAAGGAAGCATCTCCAAGATGAGGCAGATGATCTTTCTCTGTGCCCCTCTTAATTGCTCCTCATTAAAGCTTCTATTCCCTCCACCCTACTGACCTGCCTTCCCCTAGAAGAGGCCTTCTTTTCAATCTCTCCCAGTCCAGTCTGAGTCTTTGCTGATTTTGGAATAAGCATTCTGAAGGACAGAGTTGACTCTTTCATTTCCTTGCTTTGATGCTCTGAGTGTTTCAGAGGTTCCCCACCATGGATACGATAAAGTCTCATTTTCTTGGCGGAGAATTCAGGGTCCTTTATGATCTTCACATCCCCAGGTTTTAGCCAAATCCAATGACCTGCTGTTCCTAAACACACCACACTGTTCCTTGTCCTGGGCCTGGCAGGTGCTGTGCCATTTACTTAGGCACAGAACCTGTGTTAGTTTGCAAGGGCAGCTCTAACAAGGTACCACAGACTGCGTGGCTTAGACAACAGACGTTTATTCTTCATGTTTTAAAACTTCTGGTTCAAAATATTTTACATGTGCCCCCCCCACCACCTTTTTTTGGCAGAGTTTCACTCTTGTTGCCCAAGCTGGAGTGCAGTGGCGTGATCTCAGCTCACTGCAACCTCCGTCACCTGGGTTCATGCAAGGCTCCTGCTTCAGTTTCCCGAGTGGCTGGGATTACAGGCATCTGCCACTATGCTCAGCTAATCTTTTGTGTTTTTAGTAGAAACAGGGTTTCATCATGTTGGCCAGGCTGGTCTCTAACTCCTGACCTCAGGTGATCCACCCACCTCAGCCTCCCAAAGTGCTGGGATTACCGGCATGAGCCACCATGCCCAGCCACATGTCCCATCTTTTTTTTTTTTTTTTTTGAGATGGAGTTTCACTCATGTTACCCAGGCTGGAGTGCAATGGCACGACCTCGGCTCACTGCAACCTCCGCCTCCTGGGTTAAGGCAATTCTCCTGCCTCCAGGCAATTCTCCTGCCTCAGCCTCCTGAGTAGCTGGGATTACAGGCACACGCCACCATGCCCAGCTAATTTTTTGTATTTTTTTTGGTAGAGACGGGGTTTCACCATGTTGACCAGGATGGTCTCGATCTCTTGACCTCGTGATCCACCCGCCTCGGCCTCCCAAAGTGCTGGGATTACAGGCTTGAGCCACCGCGCCCGGCCCATGTCCCATCTTTTAACTTGTTTGTTGGTATACCAGAGTTTTGCTAGTTCAAAACGAAAAAGATCTTTCCTAATATGACACAGGCATTAGTAAAGTTTTCCTTGTAGTTGGAACTCAGTAACTTGTCTCCTCTGTATCTTCTGGGTATTTCTTAAGTTTCCCCAGTATCTGGGTCCAGTCTCTGCTCATGTCTTAGATTTCAAGGCACCTTGCTTTTAGATCCATCACAGTTGCCTGTGTTGAGAACATAAAGATGATTATAGATGGGATTCTGGTATCACAAACTCAGAGAAGGTGGCTGTACCATGACTGGCATATAACAGAGTAAGGCCTTTATGTCCACAGAATGTGCACTGTTTTCTGAAGAGGAGTTCATTTTCCAGGCTAGTCTCACAGGACTCCTGACACCTGGAGCATCTTTGGTCAACCACAGAAATGTACTGTCTCACAATTCTGGAGAGTGGAAATCCAAGATTAAGGTGTTGGCAGGGCTGGTTCCTTGTGAGAGCTGAGGGAGAAACTACCCCAGGCTTCTTACCCACGTGCCAGAGGTTTGCTGGCAGCCTGGGTTTGTAGACGCATCATCTAGGCCAGGCTCAAATATTCCCCCTTGGGGAAGTCATCCTCCTTGGGCTGGGCAAAGGTAAAGAGGACTGTTTGCTCTGGGCTGCATGGGGCCAGGTCTACCGTAGCTGCTGGAGAAATAGTTACTGAACAATTGCAATAGGCCCCTTGATACTGGCTTCTGAGCATCTCCTTGACAGCCCCTCGAGGGCCTGAGGGACCTAGGTCAGAGATATTCCTGCTGTGGATAACTCCGAGAGGGCCGGTGGGAACTAGACAGGATTAGGGAATCCTGAACTCATGTCACTGCTCCCTGCCCAGCCCAGCGCACCTTTTTCCTTCTGCCTGGATTCTCTTCTGCTCCCTTTTTATTTTTTGAGACAGTCTCATTCTGTCACCCAGGCTGGAGTGTAGTGGTGTGATCTTGGCTCACTGCAACCTCAGCCTCCTGGGTTTAAGCGATTCTCCTGCCTCAGCCTCCTGAGTAGCTGGGATTACAGGCACGTGCCACCACCCTCAGCTAATTTTTGTATTTTTAGTAGAGACAGAGTTTCTCCATGTTGGCCAGGCTGGTCTTCAACTCCTGACCTCAAGTGATCCACCTGCCTTGGCTTCCAAAAGTGCTGAGATTACAGGCGTGAGCCACCATGCCTGGTCTGCTGCTCTGTCTCTTTTAAAAGACTTCCTCTGAGAAGGCTTCACGGGCTTCCCTAGGCAGAATTTTTCTCACCTTCCCTTCACTGTGTTTCTGCCTTGCCTTTTTGGTACTTCCACTACTCCCTTTAGCTCACTGAGTTGTAATGAAGTGTATGCATGCTCCTTTCCCTAAAGACTGAGAGCTTTTGAAAGCAGAGGCTGTGCCTGACTGGTAAACAACAACAACAAAACACCTGATTATCCCTGTGGTCTAGTGGTTAGGAAAATAAAATCTAGAAAAGAAGAAAAAACCCTTATTAAACCAATAATGAGAGAAAATTAAGGGTGGTGAACAGTTGCATGGAAAAAGACTCTTATTATTTTAATTGAGGTGAAATTCATATAACATGAAGTCAACCAATTTAAGTATACAACTCAAGTGGTATTTATGCATTCAAAGTGTTGTACAACCACTACTATTTAGCCACTGTGAATGGTGCTGCTCTGAACATTCACATACCAGTATCTGTCTGAATACCTGTTCTCAGTTTATTTGGGGTATATCCCTAGCAGTAGACTTTCTAGATTATATGGTAATTCCATGTGTAGTTTTTTGAGGGTCCCCCAAACTCTGCCTGACTCTTTAGCCCTTGTGCCTATTGCAGAAAATGGCATAATAAAGGCCTCACTAAATACTTGCTCCCTGGAAGGGAGGATGGATGAATGGAGGGAAGGCCTAGATGGATGAATGGATGAATGCATGGAAAGGAAGATAGAGGGAGGGAAAGGTGGATGAAGAGTCAGGAGGCTGGGTGGCTTCCCTGACTGTAATTCTTTGAATCTCTTCTACCCCAGGGTCCCCGCAGCTGCGCCTGGTGGCTGGGCCCAGCAAGTGCTCAGGTCGACTGGAGGTGTGGCATGACCAGCGCTGGGGGACCGTGTGTGATGACAGCTGGGACATGCGAGACTCAGCTGTGGTCTGCCGGGAGCTGGGCTGTGGTGGACCTCGGCAGCCAGACCCTGCTGCTGGCCACTTTGGCTGGGGTGCAGGCCCCATCTGGCTAGATGACGTGGGCTGTGTGGGGACCGAGGCTTTGCTGTCCGACTGCCCTGCTGCTCCCTGGGGAAAGCACAACTGTGCTCACAATGAGGATGTTGGGGTAACCTGCACTGGTAAGGAGGCCCTAGCCATCTGTTGACTCCAGAAGGCTTCCTGAAGGGGGAACAGTAACTAACATGGGCACTAACATTGATTGGGCACTTGCTAAGCCCCAGCCCTGTGCTGGGTGTTTTTCCACATATGGCCACATTCAAATCACATAATAAGTCTAGGGTGGTGTGTGTTATGTCCATTTTACTGAAGCTGAGGCACAGAGAGGTTAGGTAACTTGCTCAAGATCACACTGCAACTAACTGGCAGATGTAGGATTCCCACTCAGAGAAGCTACTGCTTCCTCTTCCTTCTAGGAATCAAGGGAGTCTCTCACTAAGAAGGGAGATTTAGCCTTCCTAAGATGAAAGGAAGCAGGCAGGGCACTGGGAGATGGAGAGAAGCCAAAGCGAGAGCCAGTTAACATAAACTCAGGCAATGCCTATTATTAAAAGCCAGATGTTGAGCTCGGCACTGGGTTGTCATGTTGGGTTCATGAACGGAATGAACATGGTCTTGCTCTTTGAATAGCTCATAGCTCATGGAGAGAAAGAAATACTCTAACAAATCATTGCAAACCTGTATGACTCCTTATAGTTTGGGGTCACCAAGACCAGTCTCAGATTCAATAATTTGCTAGAAGAACTCATAGAATCAAAGAATCTGTTACAGTCAGGGTTATTGTTTATCACAGTGAAAGGATATAGATTAAAATCAGCCAAAGGAAGAGGCACCTGGGGCAGAGCTCAGGAGATACCAGGTGTAAGCTTCCAACTGTCCTGTGCCCAGTGGAGTTATGCAGACAGCACTGAATTATCCCAGCAAGGAAGTGGGACAACACACATGAAGAACTGCCAGCTAGGAAAGTTCCCTTGAGCCTTGGCATCCAGAGTGTTTATGGGGGCTCAGCCATGTACATGTGGCTGACCATAAATCATACTGTTAGCACAGGCGATCTGGCATTGCCCAAGTCCCCCAGGGAAACAATCTTTTATCAGGCAAGATATTCCAAAGGCTTAGAAGTCATCTCCCAGGGGCCAGGGAAACAGTAAACCTTTCTTTGGGCAAGGTTAATCCTTTACTGCACACATGTGCTAATCAGAAAAATGGAAGATGGAGAGTGGTGTCTCAAAGGATGGAAGTATCACCTCTGCTGGAAGCTAAGGCTCTTCCCTCTGTCCCCCTCTTCCTGATGGCCATGGGGGGACCACAGAAAGATTCTTTTATTTTTTGAGATGGAGTTTCACTCTTGTTGCCCAGGCTGGAGTACAATGGCACGATCTTGGCTCACTGCAACCTCTGCCTCCCGGGTTCAAGCAATTCTCCTACCTCAGCCTCCTGAGTAGCTGGAACTACAGGCACGCACCATCACACCCGGCTAATTTTGTATTTTTAGTAGAGATGGGGTTTCTCCATGTTGGTCAGCCTGGTCTCAAACTCCCGACCTCAGGTGATCTGCCCGCCTCGGCCTCCCAAAGTGCTGGGATTACAGGTGTGAGCTACTGCGCCCGGCCACAGAAATTCTGAGTTCAGGAGTGGCCTGTTGGACCTGGGTACTACTCTGGTGGTAAGAACTGACAGTGAGGTATGGAGACCTATCAGAAGGTACAGGAAGTGAGGCCCTAACTTAGAGGAGAAGCTGAGGAGATGGAGAAGAGGGGTCAGGTGTGAAGGGATGAGGGGGTCAGTCACGTCCAAATTGTAAGTACCAAGAAGGCAGGGGGTGGTGTTGCATCTGGCTTGCCATAGCCTCCCCAGGGTCTAACACTGTGTGGCTCATAGGAGGTGCTCAATAAATATTTGTGACAATAAATGAGTAAATGATGAACGAATGGGAACTTGCTGAGTGATTACAGAGATGAAGGGACCTAGGTAGATGATCTTGTCATCATGATATTTCCATTTTTCTTCCTTCCCCACTCACTTCCAGGGCCCCCAGGCCTGGACTCCATCTCAGACCCCTTCAGTTGGAGCTGGATTCCCGGACTGGGGAGAGATCGGAATGCCTGGCTCCCAGGAGAGCTGGCCACCAAGCCCTCTGCAAGTGTGACTGCCAGTGTTCTGGAGAAAACAACCACGAAGGCCCCAGGAAAAATGCCTAAGAGTACTAAGAAGTGGGTGACAAAAAATGCAAAGAGACCAACCACTCAACCCCCAGTGACGCCAACCACGAAACATTCCAGGGCCCAAAGCCCCCCAGACCTAACCTCACAGACCACTGCAGCCCTGATCACTGAGGCCTCCCGAAGACCTACCTTTGAGTTTACCAGAAGGCCAACCACAGAAGCCCCCCACAGATGGACCTCTCACAGCACTGCCATGCTGACCCCTCAGACTCCCCGAGAACGGACCAGTAAGACCATGGTGATGCTGACCACTCAAAGCCCCCGAGAAATGACCTCTGAGGCCACCATCAAGAGAGTCCCTCAGGCCTCCCTGGAGCCATCTGCTGAGATCCCACAAGAGTCATCCAAAGATCCGGCCCCCTCTCCCACTGCTAGCACCACTGGGGAATCAGGTGAGTGGCCGTGAAGGGTGTGGGGAGAGAATGGGAGAGGCTGACCCTCCCTCCTGACCTGTAGGCCTTCCACACAGGCCTGTTCCGGGTTCGTCTAGCGGATGGGCCCAATCGCTGTGCTGGCCGGCTGGAAGTGTGGCATGCTGGACACTGGGGAACAGTGTGTGATGACAACTGGGACCTACGAGATGCCACTGTGGCCTGCTGGGAACTGGGCTGTGGAAAGGTCCGGCCCCGAGTGGGCAAAACCCATTACGGCCCTGGAACTGGGCCCATCTGGTTGGATGACATGGGCTGTAAGGGAAGTGAGGCATCATTGAGCGACTGCCCCTCAGGGGAATGGGGGAAGCACAACTGTGACCACGAGGAAGACGTGGTGCTCACCTGTACTGGTACCAGGGCATGGTGAGGGTGGTGGGGTTGTGGGCGTGGCCAGGAGAATGGGTCAGGGTGGGGCCAGGTGACCGTACCATGGTAGATTCTAAAGAACTGGGCATGCGGGGTTGGGGTGAGGAGACTCCAGAGTTGCTCCAGAAGATTCCAAAAGGGGAGGGAGGAGCAGCAGTAAGGACCTCTGAAACAGAGGCTGGGGTCAACATTGCCCCAATTTCTCCAAAGGCTATGCAGACTATGACGATTATCCCCCCTGGACCTGGGACCCCACCTCAGCAGAGGACCTGGCCAAGGGGACCACCACAGTGGGGGGACCTGGACACACTCTCCCCTGGGGCACCACCAGGCACCCAGAGACCCCCTTCCCAGCAACAAGGCGCCTGCCAGACACAGGTGAGGGACAAGATCGGGGTGGCCATGGGGGGGCCTCCATAAACCTCCATTCGCTTCCCCATAGGGTTTCCAGAAAGACCCTTCTAAATGAGCTGGCCCTGAAAAGGTTTTCCTTGGCTCCTGAGACCCTAAACACATTACCTCCTTGGGCTCAACGGTGACACTTCTCCACAGCAGAAGACACCATCTAAGAGATCAGGCCAGGCTCAGCCTATCGTGAGCCCATCGTCCTCCCACAAACTGCACAATACATGAGCCTGAGCCCCTCGAACAAACCCACAACTGAGGGCCATTCTGTCATCACATCATCGTCCCCTCCCCTGCTCCCTCAGAGCAAGCGAAACCTTACCCGTTCTTGAAGCTCACGCTCTGGTTCGGGTGTGCTGTGGCTCCAACAGAGGTGGTGACTCCTGGAGTGCAGCTTCTTTCCCTACCCTGACTGTCTCCTGCCCATCCCTGGGCCTGAGCCCCTCCCTTCAGCCAGCAAAATCAGCCTCCAGTGCCACAGCCCTCTCCCCTCTGCTCTGTGGCCTCTGTCTCACTGTTGCAGCTCCTTTCACACCTGGGACCTTGCCCCAATTTGGCCCCCACATTGCTGCCACCACATCCTTCTGCCCCTTTCTTTGCCTGTCTTCCTTGTATCCCCATCTCTCAGGGTCCCTCTGAATCTATCTCTGCTCCTGTTTCTCACATACTATTGCTCTGTTTTTCTTTCATCATCTCTATTTCTGTGTTGCCCAGGATGCAGTGCAGTGGTGTGATCTCGGCTCACTGCAGCCTTGACTGCCCAAGCTCAAGTGATCATCCCTCCTCAGCTTCCTGAGAAGCTGGGACTATAGATGTGCACCACCATGCCCCCCTCATTTTTATTTTTTGTACAGACGGGCTCACTATGTTGCCCAGGCTGATCTCAAACTCCGGGGCTCAAGCCATCCTCGAGGAGGCGTCCCAAAGTGCTGGAATTGCAGGCAGGAGCCACCTGGCCCAACCTGTTTCTGTATCTTTCCTCCTCTTGTCTTTCACTTCCAGTTCTCACCTTCACCACCTGTTTCTCCCTCCATTTTTCCCAGTGGGTTCTTCTGTGATCACCTCACACTCTCATTATCTCCATTTCTCACTGCCTGTGTGCCCCTCCTCAGGCCCAGGGCTGCAGTATCTTTTCCTTTGTCTCCTGCCATTGTTTTCTGAGTCTCCATCTCCCCCGATTCCCCCACAGCCTCCCGCGGGCTCCCTTCTCTCTCCCTCATTCTCTCCCTGTCTGAGGGAAGGGCTCCTCTGCTTCTCTCTCCCCCTCATTCTCTCCCTGTCTGAGGGAAGGGCTCCTCTGCTTCTGTCTCCCCCTCATTCTCTCCCTGTCTGAGGGAAGGGCTCCTCTGCTTCTGTCTCCCCTCATTCTCTCCCTGTCTGAGGGAAGGGCTCCTCTGCTTCTCTCTCCCCCTCATTCTCTCCCGGTCTGAGGGAAGGGCTCCTCCGCTTCTGTCTCCCCCTCATTCTCTCCCGGTCTGAGGGAAGGGCTCCTCCGCTTCTGTCTCCCGCGGGCTCTACTGTCCGTTTCTCACCGTCCCCGCCGCCCTTGCTGCTCCTTCACGGGCGGTTTCACTCCGTCTGAGGGGCAGCGTTTCTGCCCTCCCTCTGTGCCCATCGCAGTCGCTGTTTCTCCGTCTTCTCCCTCCATTACACTCTCCCGTCCTGTCTGCCGTCTGGGCCTGCCGGCTTTCTGCCTCTGTCGCCCCGCGCCCGGCGCCTCGCGCCCATAGCCTCCTGAGAGGCCAACCATCCGGCTCCCGCCGAGAGTCTCGCCGCACGCACCCTTTCCCGCCTTTTTTTCTGGCGCTCAGCACGCATGCGCACGCGCTGTGGCCCTGGATTGGAGGGACGGGGTCCGGCGTTCATGTGCCTAGCACCTCGTGACGTCACACTAGCTCTGCGATCCCTGATTGGCCACTGGCTCATCGCCTGCGGTAATAATAGCTGGGCGCAAGGCAATCAGGTCCCAAGAAGCGGGCCTTGATGTGGGGAAAGGGAGGACGGGAGCAGGCGCTGGGGGGCCGTGACTTGGTGGTGGTAGACTCAAGTTGTGAATCAGAGCTATCGTTCCATTTCCACAGGCGGAAACGGGAGCTCCCAGAGGTGATGCTCCTCGTTCCAGGGCTGTCGGGGTTGCAGCGCCTCCCTAGCCCATAGCGCCCCCTCGTGGTGGAGGCGGGCATGTGCCGGGCACGGCGGCTGCGGAGACCGCTAGTCCAGCCTCCGGACCCCTCCCGTAGGGCAGGGCGGCAGCCAATGAGCAGAAATACACGCAGAATTACAAACTACCCCGGGGAAATGAAAAGACAGCCATGTGTGCAGCCTTATCAATAGGAAGACTCAGGTTCTATTGGAGTGAAAAAAAAAAATGGGAAGACTCGGAGGTGCGTGCGGAGTGGGGAGGGGAGACACAGCAGGCATGCATTCTTAGCTTCAGGAGCAACGTAACCTTGGAAAAGTGACTTCGTCTTTTTGAGTCCCCTTTCCATTCGTTCATTCATTCATTCATTTAGACGGAGTCTCGCTCTGTCATCCATGCTAGAGGGCAGTAGTGTGATCTCAGCTCACTTCAACTTCTGCCTCCCAGGTTCAAGTGACTCCTGCCTCAGCCTGAGTAGCTGGGATTACAGGGTCCTGCCACCACACCCGGCTAATTTTTGTATTTTTAGTAGAGATGGGGTTTCACCATCTTGGCCAGGCTAGTCTTGAACTCCTGATCTCATAATACACCCACCTCGGCCTCCCAAAGTCCTAGGATTACAGGCAGGAGCCACTGTGCCCGGCCACCCGTTTCTTTCTCTGGAAAAAAAACAATGTGCCTCCACGGTTGTTGGAAAGACGGAAGGAGAGGTAGCCTACTCTGCTGGCCCTGCCTGACTCCAATTGTGGGTCATAGGAACTGTTGCTACATCCATGATTCAGATGGGGAAAAAAGTGAGGCTCAGAGAAGTTTAACTTAGGAGCCACGATTATAATCTGTTTCAAATGATTTCACACGTTTTGCTCCTTGGATTGGGAACCATGTATGCTGAAACAGAAGCACAAGTCTGGAGTTCGACACTCCTACCAGGTTCCAATCATGGTTCCAACCCAGATTAGAACTAGTTGGGTGACCTCAGGCCCCAATTCAATGAGCAAAATGTGTGTGAAATCGTTTAAAACCGCAAAATATTGCTTGTTAGAGTTATTTGCTGAAAATGAACAACAGCTGCAGGATTCCAGGGAAGGAGCTATTATTTGTAGTACAGATATCAAGGAAACCTCACAGAGGAGATGGTATTATTTCACCAGCAGACACAAGGAGAAAAGGAATTCTCAGAGGAGCAAAGAGTGAGGGAAATTTGCATTGTCAGAAATTTTCACTGGTGTTATCAATCTCTGCTAGACTTTAAGCTCTATGAAAGATCTGCATCTGTTTCCATTGCTGCCATAACACATGACCACAAATTTAGTGGTTTAAAACAATGCAGACTTATCATTGTGCAGTTTTGTAGGTCAGAAGTCAGACTTGATTAGTGGGCTAAGATCAAGGTGTCAGCAGGGCAGTTCCCTTTGGAAGGCTCTAGGGGAGATCCATTCCTCTGCTTTTTCCAGCTTCTAGAGACCACCTGCATTCCTTGGCTTGTGGCTCCATCCCCCATCATCAAAGCCAGCAACACTGCATCTCTCTGATCTTTCCTCTGCCTTCGTAGCTTTCTCTCTCACTGTGGCTTGAAAGGTCCTCTGATTTTATTTATTTATTTATTTATTTTTGAGACAGAGTCTCGCTCTCTCACCCAGGCTGGAGTGCAGTGGTGCAATCTCGGCTCACTGCAGCCTCCACCACCCAGGTTCAAGTGATTCACATGCCTCAGCCTCCTGAGTAGCTGGTATTACAGGAATCCATCACACCTGGCTAATTTTTGTATTTTTAGTAGAGATGGAGTTTCACCATGTTGGCCAGGCTGGTCTCGAACTCCTGACCTCAGGTGATCCACCCACCTCGGTCACCCAAAGTGCTGGGATTACAGGTGTAAGCCATGGTGTCCAGCCAGTTCTCTGATTTTAAGGACTTAGATTGGGGCCACTTGGTTAATCCAGGATAATTTTCCCATTTTAAGGTCTAGACCCTTAATTACATCCACAAGGTCCCTTTTGCCATGTAAAGTAACATATTCACACTTTCTGATTGGGGCATGTGCATATTTGTCCTAGACACTAGGGATTCCAAACAGATCCAATATCTTGTCTATTATGGATTTGTCTGGAATCCCTAGTGTCTAGGACAATGCTTGAATCTCAGTAGGTAATTTTTACATTATTTGTTAAATGAATGAACGAATGGATGAGAGATTGCAGTGTAAGTCTAGAGAGACAGAGGAGATAAGATGGGAGGCTTGTTGAGTTTGGATTTTTACAAAGCAGCATTTCTTCAGTCTTCCTGGATGATAGCGTTTGGAGACAACGACATCAGTTCATGTGTCAAATGCCTACTATGTGACAGAGCATGTACTAACTACTGGGAGGTAGCGTTAAGGAACAAAGCAGGAAGAGGGGCAGGGCAGGCTTCGGGTTGCAATTTAAAATAGGAGGGACAGGCATGGTGGCTCATGCCTGTAATCCCAGCACTTGGGGAAGTTGAGGCAGGAGAATTGCTTGAACCCAGGCGGTGGAGGTTGCAGGGAGCCGAGATCACGCCACTGCACTCCAGCCTGGGCAGCAGAGTGAGACTCCGTCTCTAAACAAATAAATAAATAAATCAGGCAGACTGGATTAGGGCCTACACAAATGGCCTCTTTTTACCTTACTTACCTTCGTAAAGGCCCTGTCTCCAAATACAGTTCCATTCTCCTGAGTAGCTGGGATTACAGGCACCTGCCACCATGCCCAGCTAATTTTTTGTATTTTTAGTAGAGATGGGGTTTCTGCATGTTGGCCAGGCTGGTCTTGAACTCCTCACCTCAAGTGATCTGCCTGCCTCAGCCTCTCAAAGTGCTAGGATTACAGGCTTGAGCCACGGCGCCCAGCCCAAGTGCCCTTATTTTTCGTGCTTGTTTAGTGACAGTTTCTGTTACTGGTAGCCAAGAGCATCTGAGCTGAACCGAGAAGGTCTCCACAAGGTCAGGGAGGGGCCGAAGTGCTGGTGCAGTTGAGGCGGGATGATGCCTGGACTGGGGCTGGGCCCAGGAGGAGAGAGAAGGGGAGTCACATTCAAAGGGAAGGTGAAGACTCAATCCTCTTCCCCATATCTCTCTAGGTGGCAGAGATGGTTACAAGCTTCCCTGGATGTGGGACACAGCTTCAGGAAGGGGCCTGGCTGAGGGGACCCCTACTTTAGGCAAACTAGGACCCACCGTTGGAGCTGGCATCACCAGAAGCCCAGGCAGTCCTCCAGCTCCGAGGGTTCATGGGGACACAGGTGAGGCATGTGGCTGGGGTGAGGGGACTGGGGCGGTATGTGTCGTGCGGCAAAGAGACAGATTCCAGACTCCCCAGTGGAGCCCCAACTCTTACCCCAGAAAGACTCAGCAGAGATATATCCTAAAACAAGGGGTTATCAGCTGGGCATGGTGGCTCATGCCTGTAATCACAGCACTTTGAGAGGCCAAGTTGGGAGGATTGCTTAAGCTTGGGAGTTTGAGACCCGCCTGGGCAACACGGTGAATCCCCTCAAGACCTGAACATTAGCTGGGTGTGAGGGTACACACTTGTGGTCCCAGCTGCTTGGGAGGCTGAAGCAGGAAAACCCCTTGAGCCTGGGAGGTCAAGGCTATGGTGTGCCACTGCATTCCAGCCTGGATGCCAGAGTGAGACCTTATCTCAAACAAAAACAGAAACAGAACCAAGGGGTTATTATCTAGACCAGTGGTCATCAACTAGGGCCAATTTTGGCAATATCCAAATATATTTTGGATTGTCATGGCAAGAAGCAGAGAGGCTGCCCATTGGCACCTAACTGGTAGAGGCCAGGGATGGAGTTAAACATCTCACAGTGCACAGGACACATCCCCCATAACAACAAACCACCAGCCCTAAATGACAATATCCCTGAGGTTGAGAAACCCCAACCTACATGGCATAAATCACTGTGACAAATAGGAAAATGATAGGAAGCCCTCGATGAGAAAAAGGAAAAGATACAAACAGGCGATTCACAGAACGGGAAACCCAAATGGCTGAGTATGTTTAGAAACACTCACACTCATCAGGAACCGAGAGTACAAATTCAAACAAGCATGGAAGAGAATTAGAAAGGTGGGCATGATCGTCCAAGGTGGCCCCTACAGCACCAGCAGAAGCCTCTTCCACCGGGCAGACAGGCCCCCAGAGTGCACTGTAGGAGCCATAGACTGGGAAGAGAGGCCGGGCGCTGTGGCTCACACCTGTAATCCCAGCACTTTGGGAAGCCAAGATGGGCAGATCACTTGAGCCCAGGAGTTTGAGACCAGCCTGGGCACCATGGTGAAACCCCGTCTCTACCAAAAAATACAAAAATTAGCTGGGTGTGGTGGTGCACACCTGTAGCGCCAGCTATTGGAGAGGCTAAGGTGGGAGGATTGCTTGAGCCCAGGAGGCGGAGGTTGCAGTGAGTTGCAATTGCACCCCTGCACTCCAGCCTGGGTGGCAGAGCCAGACCCTGTCTAAAAAAAAAAAAAGGAATTCCACACAATGGAATTCTGTGCAGCAGTTAACACCGTGAGTAGACATATACACAGCAATATAGATAGGTATTAACAACATAATACTGAAGGAAAAAGTCAGAAACAGAATAATATTTCCAGCCGAATGCCATCTGTAAAAGTTAAAAGCATAAACACAAAAATACATATACACAGTTATAAAACATGCTATATGTGAGCCAGACATGATGGCATGTGTCTGTAATCCCAGCTACTCAGGAGGCTAAGGTGGGAGGATCCTTTGAGCCCGGGAGTTGAGTCCAGCTCGGGTGACATAACAAGACCCTGTCTCTTAAAAAAAAAAAAAAAAAAGAAAAAAGAAATGTGCTGTGTTTTATAAGGACACACGCATGTTTAAGGCCAAGTGTCAAATACAGCAGTGGAGGGGCCTATAGAAGAGGGTGCTGAGGACAGGACTGGGGATAAAGAGGATTGAAATTAAAGTCATACAAGAGGGAACACTGCAGGGACTGCTGGTTACAGGGTACTGAGGGGAACGATGAATGTAGTTGTCTGCACTTTGGGTCTGAAAATTAAGAAGCATTACCATTCTAGGTATCTGAGCCCCTATAATATCTACGTAAGTGTAGAGTCTTGAGATAATAACAAAAAACATGTAACATTAAACAAAATACACCATGTTAGGCACTATTCTAAGCAATATAGATACATATCCTTTAATCCTCATAAGGTCTACATGAGCTTGGCCAGGCATGATGGCTCAGGCCTGTAATCCCAGCACTTTGGGAGGCAAAGGCAGGCAGATCACTTCAAGTCAGGAGTTTGAGACCAGCCTGGCCAACATAGTGAAACCCGTCTCTACTGCGACTACTAATACTAAAATTAGATGGGTGTAGTGGCAGGCGCCTGTAATCCCAGCTACTCGGGAGGCTGAGGCAGGAGAATTGCTTGAACCCGGAGGCAGAGGTTGCAGTGAGGTGAGATCACAACACTGCACTCCAGCCTTGGCAACAGAGGGAGACTCTGTCTCAAAAAAAAAAAAAAAAAAGGAGAGAGATCTACATGAGACTGTCTCAAAGAAAGAAAGAGAGAGAGAGGAAGGAAGGAAGGAAGGAAGGAGAAAGAAAGAACAAAAGGAAGGAAGGAAGGAAGAAATTTACCTGAGCTCAATGATGTAGACCTGTAATTTTGCCCATTTCTCAAATGAGTGAAATTGAGGCACAGATATCAATGACTCTGACAACATTAATAATTATGAGAGTGCTTATTCCATGCTAGACATTATGCTAAGTACTTTGCACAACCATGATCTCCCTGAGTCCTTTTGACAACTCTGCAAGGGAGATATGTTGGTCATCTATTATCTATAGGTGGGGAAGAAACTGAGATTTGATCAGTGAAGTAATTTGCCACAGTCACCCAGCTAGGAAGCCATGTAGCTGCGGTCTAAACTGGCTTTATTTAACCACTTCTCCAATCCTGCAAACAAAGGACAGTGTGGGGAAGGGATGCCCTGAAAGACCCTGCAGGAACGAGTGGAAATCTGTAGATCTGTGTGGTTCAATATGGTAGCTATGAACACAGGTGACTGTTTAAACTTAAATGAATCAACACTTTGAAAATGAAACATTCAGTTCCTCATTCACACTGGCCGAATTTCAAGGGCTCCATAGCCGCATGTGGCCAGTGGCTACTGTATTGGCACTGTGGACCATAGCACATTCCCTCACTGAGGATGTGGTATTTAACTGCCTAGACTCTGTGTGCAAACAACTTGGGTTCAAGTCTTATCCCTGCAACTTGCAAACTGTGTCTATGTGACCTTGGGCAAGTCATGTAGCCTCTTGCTCTAATTTCCTCCATCTGTAAAATGGGGATACAACTGGCACTCACTTAGAAGACAGTCCCAGAAGAGGGTGAGGCTTCTCCTGCTACTCAGGCCCAAAACTTGAGGGGGTGCCCAAAACACCAAAATCAAGATACATAATATCATAATACAGTATTTTTAAAAATGAAAATTAATGGAAAAAAAAAAAAACCATGATGAACTGAAGACAGGGTCCTATCCACCTCACTGGGATCACCCTAATCCTGGCCCTGTTGGATCCTTTTTTTTTTTTTTTCTTTCCCCATTTATTTATTTTATTGCATTTTAGGTTTTGGGGTACATGTGAAGAACATGCAAAATTGTTGCATAGGAACACACGTGGCAGTGTGATTTGCTGCCTTCCTCCCCATCACCTACATCTGGCATTTCTCCCCTTGCTATCTCTCCCCAGCTCCCCACCCCCCACCGTCCCTCCCCTATTTCCCCCCAACTGACCCCAGTGTGTAGTGCTCCCCTCCCTGTGTCCATGTGTTCTCATTGTTCAGCACCCGCCTATGAGTGAGAACATGCGGTGTTTGATCTTCTGCTCTTCTGTCAGTTTGCTGAGAATGATGGTTTCCAGGTTCATCCATGTCCCTACAAAGGACCCAAACTCATCGTTTTTGATGGCTGCATAATATTCCATGGTGTATATGTGCCACATTTTCCCTATCCAGTCTATCGTCGATGGGCATTTGGGTTGGTGGATCCTGTCTTTGGTTAAAATGTTAACTTTGGTTAACTGTGGATATTTTGCATTAATTTTTATTGTTTAAAAATATTGCATAAAAACGCTTGAGCACAGGAGTTCAAGATTACAGTGAGGTATGATCTTGCCACCACACTCCAGCCTGGGTGATACAGCCAGACTTTAACTTAAAAAATAAAAAATTCCATAAAGATATTTATCTTGATTACTAAAATTACCCTTCGGAGCCCTCTTGGGTCTCCCTGCCTCCCCCAGCTCCCCGCATCCCCCAGTCCCCCGCTGTCTCCGAATCCTCCTGTAGGCTGACGCTTCTGACCACTCCCGCTTCCTCCCGCGTCCCAGCACCCCCTGCATCCCTCCCTCACCTCACCCTCCTGCACCCTCTCCTGTAACCCGCGTACCCCTCCACATTCCCTCGTCCTGAGCATCCGAGCATCCGAGCATCCGAGCATCCGAGCATCCGAGCATCCTCCAGCAGAGGAGGACGCCAGGTGGCGCCTGGAGACATCAGAGGAAGCGGGGAGGAGGGGCCCCAGGGCCGGGTAAAATCTGCTGGTGACCCATGACGTCTCGAGGCTCTGCGCCTTTCCATTGGTCGGCTCCCCGAGGGGCGGGGCGCGGCGCGGGGTGGGCGGAGCCGGCTGACCTCAGACCGTCCGTCTCTCTTTCCTTCTCCTCCTCCAGGTTCCCCGAGGAAACCGTGGCCTGAGGGCAGGCCGCCGCGGCCCACTGCTATCAGGACAGCGCCCCCCACCCCATCCACAGGCCCCTCCGCCTCTCCGGGACCCCCAGGCCCAGCGCTGACCTCTGACTCCAGTCTAGAGCTCACTCCCCGCTCAGCCTTAACGCCCGAGGCGACCTCTGACCCTGCGGACACTTCGCCCACCTCAGACCCAGCCTCCCGGACGAACCCCGACCTTATCTTGACAAGCCCCGACTTTGCTTTGTCCACCCCTGACTCCAATGTGGTTCCATCGCTGACCCCGGAGCTGTCACCCACGCCCCCACCCACCTTGCTCAAAGAGCTCACCTCTGACCCCTCTACACCGTTGGAGGTGACCAGCCTTTCCCCTACCTCAGAGCGGACCCCAGATTCTGACACAACTTCAGACTTGGACACGACTCCATACCCCAGTACAGTCTCAGAATATTCCAGATCCCCAGACCCCTCCCCAAGCCCTCACTCCACTATTACCCCTGATCCCACCGTGACCCCTGGTCCCACCACGACCCCTCACCCTACCTTGACCTCTCACCCTACCATGACACCTCACTTCCCTACAACCACTCATCCCACCACAACCCCTCAACCCACCACCATCATTCACTCCACCACGACTCCTGACCCCACGACAACCCCTCAACCCACCACCATCATTCACTCCACCATGATTCCTGACCCCACGACAACCCCTCAACCCTTCGCCACCATGCAGCCCACCACAACCCCTCAACCCACCACCACCACCACCACTCACTCCACCACGACCCGTCACCCCACCACCACTCCTGACCCCTCCTCAACCCCTACCATCACTACTAAGTCCCTTCCAACCTCCGTGGGGACAGAACTCTCCTCTCCCACTCCAGCACCAACAGTCAAGCCCAGTCTGCCTCCCGAGTTGACCTTCACAGCACCTGCTCCTCACCCCTCCACATCTGAAATGCCCACCTTAGAGCCCTCTCCAGCCTTGGAGTCCAGGTCCTCCAGGTCCTCCACAGCCACAAGCATAGACCCACTGTTCACTGAGGACTTCAAGCCATCCAGAAGCCAGAGCCCCAGCCTAACCCCTCCACCTACCCATGCCCCACACTCAGCCTCTGACCTCACTGTGTCCCCTGACCACCACCTCTCCCCCATAGCCCACCCCTTGGATCAACCTCCTCTTGACCACCTCACCCTAGGGCCAACCCCTGGTCAGAGCCCGCGCCCCCATGGTCCATGTGTGGCCACAACACCACCTGTAAGGGTCATGGCTTGTGAGCCACCTGCCCTGGTGGAACTGGTGGCCGCTGTGAGGGACGTGGGTGGTCAGCTGCAGAGGCTGACTCAGGTTGTGGAACAGGAGCGGCAGGAGCGCCAAGCCCTGCTGCTGGGGCTGACCCAGCTGGTAGAGGCTGCCCGGGGTCTGGGGCAGCTGGGTGAGGCCGTGAAGAGACTGGCAGAGGTGACCTGGCCCCCCACCATGCCTGCACCAACTACCACTACCCCAGAGGCAGAGGAAAGGCCTCTGAGGGGAGATGTGTGACCCTCTCCAGGATTTGAGTGGTTTAAGACACTCCTGACAAAAAAAGAAAAAGAAAACCAAAGTATCTAATTAAAAACAAGGTGTGAATGGTGTTTTTGGGGGAATCCTAGAGAGAGAGAATCACAAGCTGGATCTTGGTATGTGAATAGCCCAGGTGCCATGCAAGGTGGTGTTGACGATGGTGATGATTGATGATGGTGTTGGTGATCCTGATGGCGATGATGATCATTGTGGTGATGATCATGATAATGGTAAGATGGTGGTGGTGGTGATGGTGATGATGATGAAGAGGAGGAAAAAATGGTGATGATCATGAGGGAGTGGTCATGGTGATGAGGCAATGACCGTGATGATGGCGGTGGTGGTGATGGCGGTAATGTTGATGATGGTGGTGGTGGTGGTGATGGTCATGGTGAAGAGGCAATGATCATAATGATGATGGTGGTGGTGGTGATGTGATGATGATGATGATGGTGATAAGGGTGATCATGGTGGTGATGTTCACATTGACAGTGATGGCGGTAGTGGTGGTCATCATGATGGCAATGATGGTGTTAAAGGTGATCATGGTGGTGATGACAATGGAGGAAGGTCATGGTGATGAGGCAAGGATGGTCATGACGATGCTGGTGACTATGGTGGTAAAGATGATCATGGTACTGATGATCATGATGATGGTGGTGACAATGATGAAGCTTCATGTGAACAAAAACTTGGCCTTGTTTGTAGATGTAAGCTCAGTTTCTAGGACAGAAGCTGATGCAGAGTACACACTCAATAACAAATACCTTTTGAATGAAAGAGTGCATCATCATCAGCATGGCTAATATTTGTTGGGCACTTCCTATGTGTCAGGCTCTCTTTTAAGGGCTTTGCATGGATGATGATGTCATTTTGTCTTAACGGGTGCCTGCGAGGAGGGTACTGTTACCATAGCTCAGCAGATGAGGAGGTGAGCTTTGCAGCCCAGATTCCTGAGTTTGAGTCCTTGCTGAGAGTGAATATGAGTCAGTTACTTAACCTCTGGGTCTGGGCTTCTCCAACTATAAACAAGGGATAATAATAGTACACATACCTCATGGGGTTGCTGTAACGATTGAATAAGTTAGTACCTAAGAGAGTGCTTACGACGGCTCTTGATAAGCACCTGTCAAGTGAGAGCAATTATTGTGTTTATCCCATTCTGCAGATCTGGGCACTGAGGCACAGAAAGGTTTGGTCGTGTGCCCCAGATCACTAAGGGAACATGTGGTGGGCCATGCTTGGCACACAGGGCCCTTGCTCTTAAGAAAATATTCCAGTCTGGGTGTAGTGGCTCATGCCTGTAATCCCAGCACTTTGGGAGGCCAAGGTAGGTGGATCACAAGGTCAGGAGTTCAAGACCAGCCTGGCCAAGAAGGTGAAACTCCATCTTACTAAAAATACAAAAGTAAGTCGGGCATGGTGGCAGGTGCTTGTAATCCCAGCTACTTGGGAGGCTGGGGTGGGGGAATTGCTTGAACCCAGGAGGCAGAGGTTGCAGTGAGCTGAGATTGCGCCACTGTACTCTAGCCTGGGTGACAGAGCAAGACTCCATTAAAAAAAAAAAAAAAAATTCCAGCTGGGCACAGCGGCTCATGTCTGTAATCCCAGCACTTTGGGAGGGTGAGATGGGAGGATGGCTTGAGCCCGGGAGTTCCAGACCAGAAACATAGTGAGACCCCCGACTTTATTAAAAAAAGTAAGAAAAAAAAAAATATTCCACGGCTGTGTCAAACTGACCTGGGTTCAAGTCCTGGCTTAACCATGTCCCGGCTGTGGAAGTCTGGCAGTTTCCCTCCCTTCTGTGAGTCTCGGTTTTTTTCACCTGTAAAATGGGGAGAGCAGTGGTGCCTGCCACATGGGGTTGTGAGGATTAAATGAGGTAGTGCAGATAAGGACAGGATGGTTAACGACAGTGCTTGTGACCATGCCCACCTGTACTTTTCTGTGCCGACACCACAAGGACTGTCCATAAACTACATCCAGTCCTCACCATAGCCCTTTGAGGGAGGAACTTTGATCTGTTTCAGAAAGGACTCTGAGGATCAGAGAGGGCAGGCCCCTTGCCTAAGTCCACACAGCAGAGCCAAGGACTCAAACCCAGAATACTGTGATGTGAATTTCTGTGCTTTGACCATGGCCCAGGTTTCTGGATTAGGGCTTCTATGACAGCCCCACTCCAAGCGACCTTGGGTGGGCTCCTTCCCATCTCTGTGCCTCAGCTTGCTGGTTTGTAAATTGAGGGCCATCTTAGAAGACCCCCCTACTCTGATTCTGGCCCTTGCAGCCTCAAGCAGGAAACCATTTTCTCCTCCTCCTCTCTCCACTCCAGAGCGTGGCTCAGAGGTCGTGGAAGGTGATGGAGGCTGGCGCCCCTGCAGTCCTGCAAAGGCCAGCAGGGTCCAGTTACTTGTTTTGGTGGGGGTCCTGATAGATGGACGGTCTGCTCCCGCCAGCGGGCGAAGGAGCATGCTGAGAATTCTGTTCCCCAGATCTCATTAAGCCCTGAGACTTAAATAACTGCTGACTGGTTCCCTGGGGAGGCTGAGGGGAGGGCTTCTGCCCTTGGTAGTCAGGGGGTCATAGGGCAGCACCCCAGTGTGGAAGAAAATGGCTCCTTTTCTGTCCAGGTCGGGGCAGGTGAGCCCTGGCTCTGGGTCATACCCCCCACCAAAAGAAGCAGGGGGCCCAGCATGGGGTTAGGGCTCCTCTCAGCAGGCCAGAGGTGGAGGGGGGCTATCAGGCACTCTGGCCCCAGGCCCCTCCGCCCCCTGCCACCTTCTGCCAGCTCTGTAGAAGGGAGTGCTTAATTACCCAGTCACTCTATCCCTGCTTGGCCAGGCAGCTAAGCCCAAACATCTGGCCCCAGGGCCCACGGCCAGAATGGGTGGCCAGCCTCCGCCCACTGCTGGCCCTGGCTCCGGACACCTCCCACGGGACAGCTGAGCTTGATCCTCTGCCTGCCAGCTTGCAACCAGCCCAGAACAGTAGCTGCATAGGCCCTGCAAGCTCAGTCGATGCAGAAAAAACCACATTTGATGAAATTCAGCAGCCATTCACGGTACACACACACACACAGAGAATAAAGTTAGAGCAGAGAGGACTTCCTTCATCAGATAAGGGGTATGAAGGAAGACCTACCTGTTGTTATTATCATGGGCAATGGATATGGCCTCCTAGGAGCGTTGATATAGGAGGCCCGGAAGAACGCAGCAGATAAGTGGTTTGGTGAGTAAGAGTCTGGCCTGATGCTGGACCAGTTCTCTAAAGTCATGTTCTCACATTCCCTGCACCTCAAATGTGACCCGCAGACCTGCAGCATCAGCCTCACATGGAAGCTGTTTACAAATACGGAATCTCACACTTAGGAGTCACTATGCATGGAAGCTACAGCCTTACAGAATGTATTTCTTTTTTATTTTGAGATGGAGTTTCAATCTTGTTGCTCAGGCTGGAGTGCAATGGCACCATCTGGGCTCACTGCAACTTCCACCACCAGGGTTCAAGCAATTCTCCTGCCTCAGCCTCCCGAGTAGCTGGGATTATAGGCACATGCCACCACACCTGGCTAATTTTGTATTTTTAGTAGAGATGGAGTTTCTCCATGTTGGTCAGGCTGGTCTCAAACTCCCGTCCTCAGGTGATCTGCCTGCCTCAGCCTCCCAGTGTTGAGATTACAGGCATGAGCCACTGCGCTCGGCCACAAAATTTATTTCTTAAATAATAATATTGAAAGCAAAAATTACTAAGGCCAGGTGTGGTGGCTCGTGCCTGTAATAATAGCACTTTGGGAGGCCAAGGCAGGTGGATCACCTGAGGTCAGGAGTTCAAGGCTAGCCTGGCCAACATGGTGAAACCCCGTCTCTACTAAAAATGCAAAAATTATCCCAGTGTGGTGGCAGGTGCCTGTAGTCCCAGCTACTTTGGAGGTTGGGGCAGAAGAATTGCTTGAACCCAGGAGGCGGAGGTTGTGATGAGCCAACATTGTACCACTGCACTCCAGCCTAGGTGACAAGAGCAAAATTCTGTCTCAAAAAAAAAAAAAAAGAGAAGAAGAAGAGGAGGAGGAGGAGGAGAAGGAAGAAAGAAGAAGATAAAAGAGAAGAAAAGAAAAAAAAAGAAAAGAAAAAAAGATAATACAAATGTTCCGTAAACTAGTTTCCCAGGCTGGTCTCAAACTCCTGGCCTCAGGCGCCATTCCCACCTCAGCCTCCTCATGGGATTTGAGGCATGAGCCACCGCGCCTGGCCCGTGCCTTTATACTCTTTCACACACGTACCTGCTCTCTAATACAGTGTCTTGGTCTCTCACACTAGTCTCACTCTCATGCCATCCTCACACATCTACACCCGTACTCAATCTGAAACATTTACGTTCCCCCCCAAGACAGCTCACTCCCTCATGCTCACACACCTACACAGTCACCCGCCCCCCCTACCCCCACCCTCACCCACACCCCCATGCCCCCAAGCCCTTCCTCCCACTGACCACACCAGGACATCCATGCAGGCTAGCAGCAGAGACCAAGGCCGGGAGCCCCGCTGGGTCCAACGACCAGCCTTGCCACCCCCCTCAGTGGGCGCAGCAGGAACCTGGCTGCCCTGTGCATGAGATGGGCAGAGCCCAGGGACCCCCTCACCATCTTGGGGACAGGTCAGGAAGCAGACGTGGTCATCGAGCTGCCTAATTGGGGTCCAGACTCTGGCTAGCACTAAGTATTACTTAATTAGTGTCGTCCCTGCCAGCCTGTCAGGGTCAGGCCCATCCTGGGAATTTTCTGTCCTCCCGTAGGTTCCGCCCAAGACAGGCCGGGTCATTATCACCTTCCAGTTAATCCTCAGCTGCCACCAGCAATCAACACCGCCCCCCCCCCCCCCACCGTGCCCCCTGCCCGGGCTCCACTCCCTCCCACCCAGCACGTGGCATCCCAGCCACCTCCAGATTTTTGGGACACATTCTTGGCCTAACAGCTTGGCTACTTGAGATTCACAGATAAAGGGGGGCAAGAGGCCTTGATATACCCACCTCCGTTGACTCCCTTCTTCTCTCCAATGATTCCTACTCCAGGAA